ATGTTTGCTTTACCAGATATACATTGGATCTGGTTAAAAATATCTGGAAAGAGAAGTTGCTGGTAGCTCGCCATCTTAACTACTATAGCTTCCTGTTTTGCCCATGCTGGCTTTGTAGTCTGACATCATTAATTACAACCTCTTTCTTGTTTTTGTTCCAAGTGGTATGTTTAGGGCTTTCATTTGGATTGTACAAGATGGCAGGAAAGAGGCAGCATGGTGCCGCAGAAAGAATGGGGAAAGTGATGGATTTATAATCAGAAGATCTGAGTTATAGTCCTAGCTTTGCTCTTGCTAGTTGTGTGAGTACCAGCAAATCTCTTAACCCTTTGAGTCTCAATATCCTCATCCAAAAAATGAATTTAAAAATTTTGTTAAGCACTTTTGTGCCAAGCACTGAGCTCAGTTTTGGGGATTCAAATATGGAAACAAAGACAATTCCTGTTTTCAGTTAGCTTATATTCTATTAGGGAAGAAAATACACATAGGGGATGGTGGCCAGAGAAGGGCACTTTGGTCCAGAAAGCTATAGAAATGGTGAGTGAAGTCATAGGGAAATACACTGGCACACCCTATCCAGGAACAATGGCAGAGATGCTTTGCACTGGGTTCTAGAACTGGAAAGGGAAGAGGGGTGGTGTGGAGAGACAGATGAAGATTACATTAGGCTTGACTAGGCTATAAAAGAGAATAGGGAGTGAAGTGGAACATGGGCTGAATCTTTCCTGATAAAATAGTCCAGAAAAGTCTGGCCAGCAAAAGGGGGACTTCCAGAGCAGAAGTTCCTTTGGGGTATGGTTTCTAATGTAAGTCAATGAGACAGTTGTACTAGGTGATCTCTTAAGTTTAATTCCAGTTTCAAGTCTATAATCCTCAAGGTTGGGTGAGTTTAATTTTCTTTATCCTTTAACAACTTAAATGTCAACAAAATTGACTCCAATAAAAAGTTGGAGTTGATAAATAGCTTTTATTTGTATGTAATCATTGAAGAACCACTGATTGTTGAGCTGTTCTGCCTCCTCTTGTTTACCATGATAAGCCCTTGGATCAGTGAATGGCAGCCTGCAAAATAGTGTATGCCCATTGTAGGCAGTGATCCTGCATTATGCTTTTCATTATAAACCTATTATATTAATAGACATTATTATATTAATGAACATATAAACCTCATTTACTCCCCCTCCTTCCATGAATAAGGAGGCACAAACCAGCCTGGGTTGGAAATGGAGCAGATCAGAGCTCCAGGGCTGATTAGTGGGATCGAGCCATGAAGGACTGCTGCACTTCCAGCACGGGGTAGATAAGAAGACCCAATCTCCTCCCCCCAAAAAAGTGTCCCTCGGCTTCATCGGACTGCCAGAGGAGTCCACAAACAATTCAAGGTCTCTGCTATAGTATGTAGACCTTGAGAATTTCCCGTGTGGACACTCCCTCTACAAGTATGGTCATACACATCAGTCAGTCTGTATAGAACTGCCTGGGTACCTAAGGGCTTGTGATTTGCCCAGGATTTCAGGGCTAGCGTGGGTCAGACACGACTTGTACCAAGTGAGATCTATGCTCATGACTCCAAGGTCAGCCCTCTGCTCCTTGTTCTACTCTGTGGGTCAGGATCATCAGGCTAGTCATTTATGCCAAGTTGCAGCTTCCCCTTGGCTGAGTCTCTAGTCATATGACAGCCCTTGTCCTGGAGAAACCAATAGTTCAGTTTGGAAGAGGAGACAAGGTTTTTGTATTCAAAGTAGGATTATTATGGGAAAGTGCAACTCTATCAGCTTAAAATGCCCAAATATGTAAAAATGAGGAAGTGGAACATTAAGAAGAAAATTTGGGTGAAAGAAAGGATAATGCTAAGAATAAAAACAGGCCATTACAAAAATGTCTCTGCTTTTGGTGTGATCCAAGTTTTTATTAATGTCTTCTGTTTTTTAAAAAATATAATCATAGTTATCCCCAGAATTCTTCCTCCTTCCCTTCCCAGACAGCCAACCACATAATAAATAGTATTTTTAAAGTGTTCCCCTCCCCCCCCAAATAAAACCCAAAAAACAAAGAGGAGGAAAAAAATCAGCACAATGATTAGTACATTGAAAAATTCTGAAAACATGTGTGACGTTTACCACCTATGGATCTCCCACCTCCACAGAAAGGTGAGTTGGGAGTTGGCTGTGTCTCTTCATTCAGAGAATCTCTACTTGAGCTTTGTCATTTTGTTAAATTCATTTTTGATTTTTTAAAATGTGTTGCTCTTTCTATTTACATTGTAGACACTGTGTATGTTATTTTCTTGGTATAGATCTTTCCATGCTTCTCTGTATTCATCAGGTACATCATTTGTTGCAACACAGGAACATTCCATTACATTTGTTTACCACAATTTGTCCATTCCCTGATCAACAGGCAACTATTTTATTTCCAATTCTTTGCTGTCACACAAAGAGCTACTATAAATATTTTGGTGTATATGGGAATTTTTTTCTTATTGATAGCCTCTTTGGGGTGTAAGTCCAGTAATGGAATTTCAGGTTCAAAGGGTATGGGCATTTTGATCACTTAATTTGCATAACTCCAAATTACTGTCCAAAATAGTTGCACTGATTCACATCTCTACCAACAATGTATTAGTATACCTCTCATTCCACAACCCTCCAACATTGACTGTTGCCATTTTTGATCATCTTTGCCAATTTACTGGCTGTAAATGAAACGTCAGGGTTGTTTTGATTCACATTTCTTTAATTACTAGTGATTTGGAGCATTTTTCATGTAGTTGTGAAATCTTTCAATTATTCTTTAGAAAACTGTTTATTCGTATCCTTTGACCACTTAGGTTCTGAAGTTTGAGAAATTTACTGTTGCACAATGAGTTTTCTGGCCTGATACATGTTTTATTCTTATCCCATAAATTTCTTTTGTATTTCCCTTTCCCATTTTACAAATTACATATTATGTAAATTGGGAAAGGGGAGCATAAACAGGGTGTCCCATATACATGTAAAGGAGCTAGGATTTCATTCTTATAGCGTGCTTGCTCTTGGTGTGAAAACTCCTTCCACCAATGCAGCTGCCCCCTATAATCCCGCTATGATTTAGGTAAACCATAGGGATTTGTCTGAGTCACCAAAATGAAGAGGTTTGCCCCAGGGCTGGACCGCTAATGCTTGGGTTGAATTAGATCTTGAGGGTCATTTCCAACACAAAATCTGTCTGACTTTGCCTCTCATTAGCTGTATGATCTTGGGTGAGTCAGTCCTGGCTCTAAATTTTCTCATCTATAAAATGAAGAAATTGGACTATATCTAAGGGTCCTTTCCCGCTTTGATCCTTTCATATAGATGACAGCAAAGGGAAAATTTACTGTCTGAAAAGTTGAATGAGCAGAAGTCCAAAGTTAACTTGTCTGACAACCTGTAGGCTTGGATCTCACAAAGATTAGTCTCTAGTTTTGTGTTGGGAAAGGAAGGCTGGGTGGATTTGCATAGACTTCTAGAGCTAGAAGGGAAACTGAGAGGTAATCTAGTTCAAACCAATGGGAGAAATTGAGACCCAGAGAAATTTCAGGTAATAAATTTAGTTAAGGTAACATTACAGGAGAACTAGGACTGGACCTCAGCCCTCCCACTCCTAGCTCAGTGCTTTTTGTATTGTAATTCCATGCTGATCTCTAGCCTTATTTCTAAGATGCACCCTTTCTCCTCAACACAAAATATGCTGGAATGAACACTGGATTAGGAATCACTGGCATTGGAGTGCCAACTTTATCGCTTGGTTTTGGCTTCAGATACTTAACTATTCAGTACCTTTGTTTTCATTATATGTAAAATGGAGATAATCATTTTCCTAGAATTGATTCTAATTTTTTAAACTAGGGAGAATCCTTACAAAGCAAAAGGTGGTTTGAGGTGAGATCTGTTTACTATGTGTACTGTAGGTAGGGTTCATGCTTCTTATCCCCTCAAGTTCCAGCTTATTCCTTCAACAAATATTTGTTGAACCTACTGTAGCCATATTGCTACTGTATCTATAAAACAGTTACAGTATCTATAAAACAGGGCTGATTATAATATTCACATTAACTACCCTTACTGGATGGTTGTGAAGAAAAGTAAGTACTTTCCGAACTGTGAAGTGCTATCCAGAGGTGAGCTTTTGTTACTGGAGGTGCCCAGTTAATGTTGATATTGAGTGATTGGATCCTGAAGAGAGGTGGTAGTATTTGGAACTGGAATAGGCCCTAGTGAAAGTTTGTTCTTTACATTTCTGGATTATGTTGGCATCTTCCTGGAAAATGGAACCCACAGGATAAGCAGTGCTTATGGGGTACAAGGAGAAAGAAAGGGAACAGCAGAGTAATGGAAAACAAGGAGGGGGAGTGAGGACAGTAAAATTCAGGAACTAATACAATGCAACCAATTATTATCTACATAACACATAAGTTGATTCTTGCCCTACTCACTTGAGAGCCTTTCTTTCCAGTGGTTAATTCACTACCAAGCTTATGTTCTGAGTGCAGTAGGTGACACTGAATTTTTTTAGCAATCCATTCATTATTTTAAAATCTAATAGCATTTCCTGCTGCTTGGAAGAATTTCTTGAGTGAGAGTCAGCAGGGTTAGTGGGAAATCCAGTGGATTTGGAGTTCAAATCACCAGTACAGCTGCTTATTTTTCTGTGACCGTGGGCAAATGACTTAACTTTTTTTATGCCTCTGTTCACTCATCTGTGAAAAGAAGGGATTAGATGGGATGGTCTCTGAGGGTCTTCTACATCTCTAGATCTGTGGTCCTATGATCCTTCCCAGTTCTAAATATTTGATCTTAGTTACTTTGATTCATTCAACAAGCATTTATGGATTTTATTTATTGATCACCTACTATGTGCTAGGCTCTGGGAATATATTTTTTTAAAAGTTCAACCCTGTTATTACTCTTTATTATTAACAGGAAGATTCAAGACAGAATCTTTGAATAAATGAGAACATTTTTGTTTCTGTTTAACAGCAAACAAGCAAAACCTGCCCTGCAAAAAGAAAAAAAAAAGAGAAAAAAAACCACCTTTGTTCCTTGATCCTGCACTAGTTTCCTTTTTAAGGTATGTGCCTGTTACATAATGGAGTAGATAAGAGACAGACCTTTTATCCTCTTCCCAACGCTCTAAATCTAAATAGGTACAGGTTTGCCTTTGGCATCTTCCTGATAAAAACTGTTGGCTCTTTTTGCTATTGAGGGAACCTGCTGAAATAAATGCACTAAGATGCAATGATATTGAGTAAAGATAAAACAGCAAAGTCTTGGCAAGGGTGCTTTTTTGGTTTTTTTAAACGTATAAAGTAACTGAATTAGTGCTTTCAGTCTCTCTTACTCTCTAGGTAAGGAAGAAGGCTGGTTGTCAGGGTCTAGAACATTCCATGTTGCTTGAGTTTTGTTGCCGAAAATGGTATGGTCAAAGATTTGAAGAGTTGTTTTCCTGCCTTACAACTTCAGGAAATTGGACCATTCCTCTGGCCTCCTAAGCCTATTTTTGTTTATTTATTGAGGCCTGACATTGTATTTGGTGTTTCCAATACCACAGACAGAACAATGGAATCTCGTGCCTGTGGGACTGCCTGATTCCCTGCCCCCTATCTGGGACTGTATTCAGCTATTTTTTGGAGTTTGTGTGGGAGAGCTGGGGTTCTCTACAGTCATTCCTGGTGCTATCTTAATTGGAAGTCCCCCAACCTAGTTACATTTTGTTTTTTTGTTTTTTTCATACAGGTTTTCTTTTTTTTCTGACTTTAATAAACAAATAAAATGAGCATTTATGTATACAAAGTAGAATAGAAGAAAGGGATTTAATGGAACCATTTATCTCCATTACATACAGCTCGTTTTCTCTTTAAGTATAGGATAAAGTTAACATTTAACTTTTCAAGCTGTTTTGCTTCTCTGTATTTCCTTCTATTCTTCCTGTGCAGTTTTTTTAAAAATGCCTCTTGCTTTTTTATGTTAATATGGTCCTCTCCTCACCTCTTTCCGCCCACATTGGAAAAAAAGAAAAACAAAACCCTTGTAACAAATGTGGATATCCCCACATTAACCCTATCCAAAAATATATTTTTTTCCTGCAAGGTCTTTCATGTCTTTTTCAGAAAGTAAGTAGCCTGCTTCATCATTGGTCCTCTGGAATTACGATTGCTTATTATATTCATCAAAGTTCTTAAATCTTTCAGAATTCTTTGTCTTTATAGTGTTGTTATTATGCTACAAATTGTATTCTTGATTCTGCTTGTTTCATTCTGCATCCGTTCATACAAGTCTTCCTAGGTTTCTTGAAACTGTCTCTTTGGTTATTTCTTCTGGTTTAATAATACTCTGTGTCAAAAAAATAATATTCTGTGTCTTGAGAGATAAGGACTCTACAATGGGGAGAGTTTATTATCCTGTAACAATGACAGTTATGCTTCAGTTATCTACAGTAAATTCTGGGCTGGCATCTACCTATTAACCAGCATACTTTGGGGCCATCTCATTTACCTGAACAATTGAGTAGTATTCTAGGAATATAAAATAGTTTTTAATTTGGCAAGGAAAGCATCAAAACAAACCCTGTTATGTTTCAAAATTAATTCTTAAAGAGAATTTACAGGCAGCTAGGTGGCAAAATGGATCTTGGAGTCAGGAGGTTCAAATCCGACCTCAGACACTTGACACTTACTAACTGTATGACCCTGGGCAAGTCACTTAACCACAATTCCCTCACCAAAAGGCAAAAAAAATAATTACTATTTGGGATTATTTATACTACTAATCTCTTCTACTCTTTCTTGGTCCAGATTTCATCAGTATGTGAAACTACAGTTATATAATAGTTCCAAGTCTGCATTCTAGAGCAGCTGTCCCTCAGCTAATGTATGTCAGATGCATTACCCTTGACTTTCTGGCTTTAAGACTACTATCTATGCCAGTAGCATCAAACTCAAATAGAAATGGGGACCACTAAACTGTGTATAAGAATCCCTGCAGGCTAAATATTAACTTAGAGAACTACATATTAATAGTATGTGTGTCCTACTATATTTTTATTTATTTTGTTAAATATCTCCCAGTTACATTTTAATCTGGTTCAGGCTACACAGGGGCATGGGTGGCATGTTTCACACCTCTAATCTACACCATTATACTCTCTTCCATTAATATCTGAAAAATTGAGTTGATCTTATTTCAATACTTATTGAAGGTTAGTGTAAAGTCATATACCTCAGAACTCATAAGGAAAAGTAGGAGCAGTGATTGACCCTTGCTTAGTGTTATCACTAAAACTAAGCAACTAGAGTATTCAAGAATTGTTCCTCAGGGGCAGCTAGGTGGTGCAGCTGATAGAGAACCAGACCTCGAGTCAGGAGGACCTGAGTTCAAATCTGGCCTCAGACACATAGCACTTACTAGCTGTGTGACTCTGGGCAAGTCAATTAACTCCAATTGCCTCACCAAAAAAAATAAACCAAAAAAAAAAAAGGTATACCATATCCTTGGTTTGATTCTCATCTTCTCTGTAATGCCTCTTCTTCATATTACTGCTCTTCCTCCCCTGAGTGTTCTATTCCTTAGCCCCTCTTATATCCATATACTTTTCCCCTTGGTAATGTGGCCTACTCCCAAATAGCTTCACTAACCACCTATGAGAACAATATTCAAACCTTAATGACCAATCCTTAACATTACTCTTAGCTCCAGAATTATCCTATCATTTTTTGGACATCTCAGTTTGGTTGTTTCAATGGCACCTGCTCACAATCTCTTTGTCTTCTGTTTGTATTAATTATTCAGACTAGCCTTCCTACTAGATTGTAAGCATTTGAGGACGAGGTCTAGGTCTCATGTCTCGTTTCTCCACTCCTATCACTGCGCAGTGCTTGCTATACACTTGGTAAATAGTCATTGAATTGAATAGGGAGTAAAGAAAATAATGTAGAGGAGGGTGGAGAAGGTTAATGATTTAGGATGGGACAGAATAGGAGAAGAGCTGAACTCTTAGTAAGGTGCTACTTGTTCTTAAATGACTTAAAACCAGTGGTTTCTTGTAAGATTTTAAACATCCATATTTGTTCTTCTTAGAACACATTACTACTCTGAAAGAAAACAGCCCTTGTCCTGCTTACCAACCCTGGACATAGGTCAGCCTGAGGTATAGCTTTGAGTCCAATGCTGAGTTTAGTAGATGAGAAGCAGGTAGAGTTGTTGAGTTTCATGTGGAGTTTCAGGTGAAATTCTGGCCCATGTTAGTGTTTGCTTGTCATCATACCAACTTTGGTTTCTGAAGCTACTTAATCTTTAAAGTTGGGTGACTGGATTTATAAAATGGAAGAAGAACAGACAGGGAAGTTGTTACTCTAGGACAAGGGTACTTAACCTGTGTGGTCCATTAACTTAAAAAAATTTTTTTAGTAACTGTATTTCTGTATAATTGGTTTCCTTTGTAATCTTATGTATTTTATTTTAAACACTTAAAGACCTTCTGAGAACGTGTCCCCTGGTCTTCCCCAGACTGCCTCAGCTCCCATGTCTAATTCTTACCACTTTGTTACTCTTCCTGGCTATTAAGCAGTCTCTAAGTACTAGCCTCTCCCCAAATCTCTTTAGGCCCTGAAAAGGACATCAACAAACGAAAATGTCTTGGTTTATAGGATCTTTATTTTTTATCCTATTGGTCATTCCCAAGGGAGATAAATACTTCTTATTCTTAACTCCTCATTTGAAAAAGGGATGTTTTTTTTTTCCTGTCTCAAGTGGCTTCTTGGATGATATGGCTAACATACCGTTATGCTTTTTCCTTTTTGCTTGTCTGTACTAAATTGGTTTGAGAAAGAGTTTGATTTGGGGAAGGAAAGAGTCCTTGGGAAGTGATAGAAATTTTTAAAAGAACTTCAACAAACATTTCAGTTTAAAAAATGAATCAATATAGCCTTTGCCTAGAGAGGTGTCTACATACATACAAACACATATATATTTAATATCTATATAATCCAACATAAATTACACAACCTACGCGATTGGAGAGAACTGGCATAACAAGCAACTTGTGTGAAAAACTCACCTCAACCTTGCAGTTCCTCCAAAAGCTTTGGTTGTCTTAACAGAATGTCTAGGAGGTGAGAGGTAACAGTACCATTATCCTCTCTCCTTAGCTGAAGCTATCTAGAATATGATATTAGTTTGGGGTGCCAAATCTTAAGAGACATATTCCTAATTTGGAACATAATGAAGGGGACAGTGTCTAGGATGGGAAGTGGTTTTAAATCCTTGCCTCTGAGACAATTTTTTTTTTGAGAGATTGATGTTGTAGCTTAGAGATGATAACACAGATTGAGGCTGAAAACTCTCTTTAAAATTTTTAATTGCTGTGATCTGGAAGGAGGAATTAAATTTTTGGCTTGATTCCGAAGGGCACATACAATGGAAGGAAGGCACATTTATGTCTAATATGAGGAAAAACTTCCAAACAATTAGAGCTGTCCAAAAATGGTGGAGCAAGCTAGCTTCCATTGAGGCTAGCTAAGGTGGAATGAATGACTTACTCTTTATGCTATGAAGGGCATTCCTGGATGGGATAGGAGAGTGGAGAGACATCTTAAGTTGCTGTCACAGAATTCCAGGATTTGTTTATTTTTTTTGTTTTGGTTTATTTTGGTGAGACAATTGGGGTTAAGTGACTTGCCCAGAGTCACACAGCAAGGGAGTATTATGTGTTTGAGGCCAGATTTGAACTCAGGTCCTCCTGACTCTTGGGCCGGTGCTCTATCCACTTCAAGAATTCCAGAATTTGAAAGGACTTCTGAGGTCACTTAGTCCAGCCATGACATGGACAAGAATTACCTCTATCAAATACAAGGCATGTGGTCATCCAGTGAGGTGCGTGGGGGAGGGCACTAAGTTCAAAGGCAGCCTGTTGGGATAGATGCCTATCATTGTTAGGAAAACTAATTTTTCCTTACACCTTCTTCTAGGTGCTTCTAGTTTTTGTCTCCTGGGGCCAATGAGAACACGGGGACCCTTCAGACATTTGAAGACAGTGATCATGTCTTTTTCCACCCTCACCCCCCTTCTCTAATA